GAGGGGTGCTGGTGTAGGGCAGGGGGTGTGGGCAGGTGGGCCGGAGCGGGGAGTGCAGGAGGCAGGGGGTTGGCCAGAGCCTCCCACAGCTGGTGCCCTGGGCCTGGCTGGCAGGGGCATGGCTGCTCTGCGGCCTTGGGGGGGTGGGGGGGGGGGGGGGGGGGGGGGTGGTCAGAAAGCAGCTGCCGGCGCTGCTCTGATTCTCCGACAAATATCTTAAACGAACCGAGCTTTGATGAAGGTAAACGTATTTATCAGCCCAAGATATGATGAGTGGAGGTAACACAAAGTAACAGGGATACTGTATGGAATTACCATATTTATTTGAAACTAAGTCAGACTTGAATTTAAGACCCCCCCCTTAATTACATTCTATATATGGAAAATGTATACATTTGTTGTATTTTTTCAGGTGTAGAATCTAATGTAATGTTTGGATGATGTCTTACGTTCATCCCCTCTGCACTGCTAGATCAGGTAGCTGGGAGTAGATGACCTGCTTACTCTCTGCCCCCATACTTTTTCCCCTTGCAGCTTTTCTGTTCCCCCATCACTGGCACCCAGCTCCCCACAGCCTCTGCCCCCCGCCCCCGCTCATAATATCTACCCCTTTCCCCCACTCCCCAGTCTCTGTCTCTTCCCCCTCCCTTCCCCTCACCCTTTACTATCAGATGCTACTTGGGCTCTGTTTCCTCCTGGAGCACAACACGTGGAAGCACTGTGCCTGCTGGCCTTGCAGCAGTCTCAGCACTGTTGACAGGCCAGGCAGGGGACAGTTTCCCTGTACCCTGTGCCTGGGAGAGAACCCAGACTGAGTCAGAGCTGAGCTGCACCTGACAGGAAGGAGGGGGAAGAGGGAAGTGGAGGGAGCAGAAGCTGCAGAGGGGAAGCAGACGGGGAACAACAGGTTACTTTGGGTTTGACTCTGGCCCCAGTGTGAACTCAGGGCTAGAGTCAGAGCCACAGCAGTTGCCTGCCACCACCTTCCACCTCTGTATGTGAATCTAAGACAAGGGGCTTTCCCCCCATGCTGACGGGGGAAATAAACCCTCATCTTAGCTTTGAGTAAATACAGTCCAGTCTTTTCCCCTTGTCAATCTGTGCGTTTCAGGTTCTGTACTGCTGAGGAAGACCAGCCACCATTCCCACATGTACAGCGTCAGCATAATCAGGGTTATTTGCATTCACAGTTAGGTTTCCTATGCACAGCTACAAGAGTCAAACTGGTAAATTGATATAGAAACAAAAGAACTCTTGAAATCAAATTTGCATGTTTCAAATGGTTATGGGTAATACTTTGAGGCAAAGATAGTAAGTTTCTGATATAACAGCACATTAATTAAATAAACTAGACCAGCCTTCAACAAAGCACAGGGATTTACATATCTGAGAAACTACAGCTGTACATCTTCTAGTACTCTAAGTGGCAGAGGCAATTAAATAAATAAATGGAGCATAATTATAAATAATTTCATTTTTACTGGTACTGCAATTTCTATTCATTCCTATGCTTTTCCATACATGATCCTCTAGTTCATCTTCCCTGTCCCATGCTCTGTATTAGAAATTTCAGTGGGATTTTTTGTATCCAATAGAATATTAAGCTGGTTGCTCTGCATTATGCTCTTCATTGAGATGTCACTGACATGTTCTCCTAGGCGCATTAAAAAAGGATACTAACCTGAGCTATTGACTCTGGGTCCAGTGGTTTATGGTCATTGAAACCTGTGTACTGACCAGATGATGTTGATCTTCTAATTGGAGGGCTATCAATTTTCTTTAGTGAATCATGCCTATTAATGTTGGTAAGGCTGCCATGCCCAGGCCTACGTCTTCTCTCAGGACTATCTGCGCTGAGGTTACGATTCTGAAGGAGGGCTCGAGGACTGCAGTGACTTCCAGTGTTGGGGGAACCTAGCTCCACCGAGGAGTTGCTGAGGGTGTGTGGTGGATGTACAGGGCAGTGACCATCATTGGTTCTTCCGGGGCGTCTTTGAGGAGCTGGGGGTTCAGATCTCTTTCTTTGCCTACACAAACATAGAAACCATAAAACAAGTTTGCATTATGAACACAAAACATGTGAAGAAATCTTTGCGATGCACGAGTGGAGGAATAATTTGGTGGCTGAGAGGCAATACAAACATACTGCTGTGTTCAGCTTACCTTCCTAAATATATATCAGGATGACGATCAGTTGGAGAATTCATGTCCTTGGATGAGGATTTGTCCTCAGTTATTGGCCCACTGCTAGCTTCACTGTCAGCCTTCTGGCTCAGTGTATCTGAGAATGTATCATCCCTGAAAAGAAAATATACTGAGAGGTCACTCTCGGGGGCAGAAGGCATCATGGCTTCTATCGTCTTGTATCATTAAAAGTAAACAAATAAGAGTGTCTCTGCAACCACATTAACTCTTCCTAATAACCACTAACAATGCTTCTTTTTATTTCACTTGTGCCACCTCCTTAAACTTTAACTTGTAATGCTTTCAGGTCATCTTTGAAGTGTGCCTAGCACACTTCTGAGTGCTGTAGAAAAATACAACAGTGTACTTATCTAGCCGCAGTTACTCAGATGCTTAATGACAACAGTTGCTACAAGCAGAGGGTAAAACTAAAACAGTAAAGCAGCATATTCTTCCTTTTACCATAGTGGCACTGCTCCTATAAATGATATAGTTGATTAGCCTACTGGCATTCTCTGATTCATTGATGACATTCAGAGAATTACTCCAGGGAAATGAAGCAAAGAATGGTCCATCCACATTAGAGACAAAATCTCAGTGTTGCTGAGCCTTCAAAATACTCCCATGTTTTGCAGTTATCCTGCTCCCCAACACATCCCAATAAAGTGCAGATATATTAAACCAGACATTTCTTACATATCCTGCACCACTATGTATTGGTGAGGTACAAGGCCATCAATTCCATTATGCCTTCCTTCCCACCAGTCTTCAGATGCTCGATGATATAGAAGTAAGGAAGCTCCTTTTTTGAAGGACAGTTCTCGTACAGATCTTCCCATGTAGTCAAACTTAGCTATAGCTTCTATAGGTTCACATTCTAGGAGATAAAAAACACAAGATAAGATATCGTATTCCAGAACAGACTATCTGTTTCATTTTTATAAAATGTGCTTGTTGCATCCTTTGGATATTCATACTGAGTAACCAAATTGACAGAAGTCTGCTGGGGCTGAGAGAGATTTCAAGCAGTGATCCTATCTCTGTGTGAGGGGCTCAGAGTCAGCAGTGCCGGAAGTGGAAAATAGCTAGGCCTGTTTTTAAAACCTCCTGAGAGAGAGAACACAGGAACCACCCAGCATACTCAACACTGAACATTTCAGTGTTTGAAAGATGGTGAAACTCTCATCTCCTTACGCAAATTGCTTTATGCATGTGGTAGAAGACAGCTGCAAGCTAGAAGGATCACCTAAGGAGCACTGGGAAATCAAGTGAACAAGCAAAAGGTACAGGAAAGTGGTGCATTTTAACGATGGTAAATGGGAGAAACTTTTTATCATTAGCAATGAGAAAGAAATGAGGGATGGATAGGGGCTTCTTTAGCAAGGGTAGGCATATCTTGCCTCATAGGTCTGCTTCATGACTTTAGAATGCAGAAGTTGTGAGAAATTCAGAAAAGATGTTGAAAGCACAAACCTAGTATAAACCTGTTTCACAAAACACAGTCTAGTTCTTGGACCTTGTGGCTACCTTTTATGCTCTAATTGTACAAATCAAATAAATACACAACAGATCCAGCCCCTTTAGTATTACCTCTGAGTAAGAGAAATTCCCATATGGCATACAGCTGCTAATGGTAGTCTGCTACACCACCCTTTAGATGAGTGGTTTCCAACATTTTTAGACTCAAGACACCCCACATTAGAAATCATCACTTTTGTGAATTGACCAGCACCCATTTAAAAAACTTCTTTATTTATTGCAGGTCTTACCTCCTTGCAGAGGGGTCAGGCAGTGTGGGGCAGCAGAGCAGCCAGGTAGGGAGAGCCTGATTTCACCCGTATCTCCTCACACCTGGAACCTGAGCCTGCCCATCCCTGCTTATCTTTTCAGGGATAAGGGGTAGAGTGCCCCAGCACTCTGCCTGAGAATCACTGCTTTAGATGGTTGTAAAGGGCAAAAAACCATGTCTTCCTGTGCCCCAGTGGTCACTGGCTGCTGGAGTGGACCCTCATGCCTTTGTGCACCCAGTCATAAGTTATCGGCTTTTCATGTGTATGCATACACACATGTATGTAAAGGTAATGTTAAGCTTCTTCCTCTACAAGAAGTAATTTCCCAGTCAGTGGAGTTATTTGAGATAATGTCCATGCGTATTCTCATGTGTAGACAGACTCAGCCCAAGTCTTTTGTCTAGATGCATTTTTACCTTACCTTTTACTTGTTTAGATGGCTCCAGCTGCAAAGTTACAGTTTGCAGCTATTTCCTTAGAACTCATCCAGCCTGTGAGGGGCAGCCCATAGCTCATTATCTTTATTTAATCAGGTTAATAACCCGTATCTGTGAACTAGTACAGTTTGTTTAGGTTAGTCCAGGCTAGCACAGACTGAATAGTTTCAGAGGGAACAAACAAAGCTACAGGGAGGTAAAAGCAACACAATGGCAGGAGAAACCTGGTATTACAAAAGCAAGGTAAAGTACACTAGGAGGAATCACCTACACACACTTTAGACCCAAGAGATAAACTATATTAAAATTTAGGAAAAAGGTTGTAGGCATTGCTATGAATACCTCAATGACAGTCTTTGCTCAATTGAGCACTGGAAGTAAAAAAAAAAACCCAGCAAAGAAAATGATATAACAAACAAGATGTTTATAGAAAAAAAACAGTAAGCAATATTTTATTGCTGCTATATCAAACAGCAACACACTTATCTGGAATCCCATGTTCAGTTCTTACTAAAGTATACATAAAAAACATAAAGCAGAGAAGTGACAAAATGATTATAGGCATGGAAAAGCTTCCATTTGGAGAGAGTAAATTAAGCTCATCTTTTAAACTTGCGTAACAGTAGTAGAGAGGGATCTTAAATGAAACTGAAAGGCAGTAACTTATAAGCACTGATAAAAGAAAACATTTATATACAGATCACATAATAATTACTCTGGAACTCATAAGAAGATATTGCTGAGTGGGACATTCTTCCTTTCAATCAAAATATATAACAAGATAGTGTGAATAAAAGAAGGATGAGGCATTTGTGTGAATAATGGGAACATGCAGTTACATTAGATAAGAAGTGGGTCAATAAACTGGAGGTATAAAACTCTGAGGCTTCATGGTGCAAGTCACCTAATAAATGGAGATTAAGAGACTTCACAATAAGGAGACTAATTGCCTTGTGTAAAGCTTTCCTTTCACTTTCCTCTAAAGCAACTGGTAGTGGGTTAACAGTATTCAATTTGATAGAAATACAGACTGATCAGATAGGGAAATTCCTGTCTGGCCTTTCATGTTAATTTGAACAGAATCTCTATTATCAGTAGATCAGTGATATACAGGCTTCAGTATCGTGTTCAATTTCCTCTCATTTACCATTAAAATGTAAATGAGTAAGTTAAAAGTAACTCCCTCAAGCTGGTGGAGTTACAAACACGTAGCATACTAGTGAGGTGCGAACCGGGCCCATGTTTTTTTGTGTTCTTCCTTCTCTCGTATCTCGATGTCTGAGGGAAGATGTCCATTGAAAATGACTGTTTGAATTGTTAATCTACCAACAATCAATAGGAATGTGACTTCCAGGAGTGCTATTTATGTGTTTCTGTGTAACAATACTATCTTCTCAGCAAGCACAAATGCTTTTCTTAATAAGTTCCTCTTATTTTGAGAGGAGCACTTCCATTATTAACAAGGTGCCCCTTACTTTGACAACACACTTTAGTAGGCAGGACTCAATTTTTAAAAAAAATACTAGCATATCTTTTAACAGTTAAAACTCTGACCATTAAAGCCACAGTATCTTGACAGTTAATCTTGGAAATAAAAAAAGAGCAGAAGATTTTATTGCAATGCAGGCAGGTATTTCTCAAGTAAATGAAAGAGTATATATAGAGCTAATCAGTGAAAATCTATGATATGTACCAAACCTGGCATGATACTAAGCCATGGGGTCTGGCAGCATAATTAAGACAGCTCACAGGGAAATATAATTGTACTGCTCTGTCTTATACCTGGAGGCATTTGCCTACCATGGCAAGCAATATTTGATGATATCTAAGATATCACCAGTTATCATCCTTAATGATCGAGGCAAAGAGAGAGAGGGGAAAATTAGGACAAACTGAAGAATTATGGGAAGAACTCTAGGGATTATGTTCATCATGAAAACTCTTCTCAGTTTGGCACTTATGACCCCAAATTCTGTTTAATAACATTATTGCTATTCAGTGACATATTATAGTCCCTCCAACTTAAGAAAAGGGATAGATTATAATTAGATATGTACAGATTCACTAGAAGGAAGGTGTGTCCCACTGCACAGTTGGTAGTGCACAGTCATTTAGTATTTGCTTTAGCACAGGACTTCTCCTTTAGCCAGGACTGCACAGCCATTTAGTAAGTACTAAATGACTGCGCAGTCCCTGCTGGTACTGTGCAGTCCTGGCAGTGCACAGGTCTTTTCCGACCCTACTGTGCAGTAGTGATGAGATACTGTGCAGCATTGGTGGTATCACGCTTAGTGCCTGCTGATGCTTCATTGCTGTAGTGATGAGCTACGTCGCCATAGCTTGTTGCTACAGTGACATAGTGTCTCATGTAGACGTGTCCAGGATGTAAGAAATGTCAGTACTAGTCACTGTATTTACACTTTAAGAGCTAACTGTGGTACAAGACTTCCCCCCAAAGTGGTGGGATTAAGGTGGCACTATGCCTACCCTAGCCACCCACCCTAATTGGGCAGGTAAAGCCGAATCAGCAAAGGGCATCTTCTGCTCCTTTCAGTGGTGGAATAGCAGAGACTACTCTGATTTGTGCTCCCCTAATCATGCTGTCTGTCTGAAGCAAAATACATCCATAAACACTCCTGCAATGAGGCATCTCTTGAAGCCTGAGTCCCTGTCAACATCCCACCACCAGATTTTCTGTCCCCAAGAGAACAGAGCTCTGACTACAAAACAAAACAAGTCTATGGGATACTTGTTATAGCTGGATTTGTCAAAATGCTGATCAGAGCACAACTTGTTTAGGAATAATTCAATTCGCAGCCTTATTTATCCTTTCTTTTGGTTCCAGGAGAACAACTTTATTAAAACTTTATAAATTTATTAGGTATCACTAAGCATCAACAACAACACCTGTATTTTTACATCAGGAATTCTGTTGGCCTGAGACTTCCTCAGGGAATTCTCTTTCATTTCCCATGAACACAGATCTAGCCAACTTTTATATGGAGCCAACTAAAGTAAAATATCTTCAACATCAGTCTCAGAATAAAATAATCTGAAAACTGCTTAAATTAAACATAGCAGTGTATTCTCTAAATGTTCAAGTCCTTTCTCAGATGAACTTTCAGGGCAAGGTTTTCTGTAGTAAAATTATGGCTAAATAGATTGTGTAGAAATTTACTAATTTGATTTTACTTTCAGATTTAACAGAAGGGGAAACTTCACTGGGTTTTTTTGGTGGGGAGAGGGGGGAGGAGAGAGGGAGGGGAGGAATATTTTTTTTCTGTTGTAGACAACATAATGAGAACTTTTTAGTGAAGAGTCTACCCCCTAACAAAAAGCTTCACTGTGTTTCCAATCCAAAGAAGCATATAAACATATTTTTACCTTTAAGCATGTGAATAACCCAAATAAAGTCCATGTCACTGATTCACAACCAGGGTGCTGCAACACCCTGAGACCCTCTCAAGGGTGCCACATAATGTTAGCACTGTTTGGTGTACAAACATGATTCACAAGATAAACCCCAGGATTTCAAATAGGATTCCACAGTGTTAAAATCTTTCTGATCTGCTGTGGTCTTTCTGGGATATCTGCAACAGAGCATTACTCTTATTTTTCTGTATTCAATGAATGAAAACTAAAAGCTGACA